AGAACACTTGCAAAAACCAACAACCACCTTTATGACTATGTACTTTTCTGTATTAATTTGGATACGTAAAATTATTTTTCTGACACTGCAACCGACAAAGAACTGATTAGCTATTTTATATTTTATTTTTTCTGTGATTTTTTTTTTCTATTATAGTATACAAATTTTTCGGAATTCATTTATAACATTTATTGTTGGAGACTTTATTCAAGGAATTTTTTATTTTTATTTTCTTTTGGTCCTTTGTATCAGGGGCATATTTTCTAAACCTGTAGACTTTTTTTTTTTTCTTTTTTTTTTTTTTTTAAATTTACAATTGGGGCCTAGGGGCCTTGAATAAGGAGAGTTAATTTTATTCTATGGCCCAATTTAGATTTATTATGGATTTTTTTTTATAAGAAATATGATTTTAGTATATATGATTAAGACTTTTGATAATGAAATATTTTTCCTATTCTAGATAATGAGAAGATTTTTTAAATAAAAATTTAGAGTCAAGAATTTAGACGTCATGGTTTGTTACTTGGTGGTCCTTCATAACTTTTTTAAAGCAAATGGCCCTCCATAAATTGTGTACCTAAATTCAGTTTTTATGTGTCATCACGTTTCTCATTAATTTGAATTTGTTAAAGTTATGTAAAATTGAGGCATTGCGAGATTAATTTGTATTTATCTAAGTAATTTAAGTTGTTTATCTTATATGATAAGTTGAAAAAAATATACATATAAAAATTAAATTAATCAGGCATAATTAATTATATGATTAAATCACAAATATATTATAACAAATAGATAATTTATTATTAAAAATATGTATGACATATTGATAAAAATAATTTGATGATATGATAATTTGTGTTGTATCAATTAATTTTTTTACATAGATAATTTTTTCAATTAAGTATATGAGATGGGATAATTTAGGAAAATGTTTTGGACCTTTTTTTGGGGAGACCTCCACTATTCTCACAGTGATATGAATCAATGATGTATTTATATTGTTTTTTTTTTTCTTTCTCTTTCTTACTTGGACTAATCATAAGTGAGTAGAGATTGTTAAGGTACTATTTTGTGAGGATCTGAATCATTACTGTAAGATTTGGCAAATTAATCCCAAGTCAACTTGAACGTCAAATGAAGACTCATTTCTCACGTGGTCTCTTAGCTCATACATACCATCGAAATTGTAAACCTAGGATAAACTTACGTTTTAACTATAACGCGCTGATTACGTAATGCATGCATAATTGAAAAAAAACGTCATATTATAAGAATAATTATAAAAAAAAATGTACATGTAATATTTATTATTCAAATAATAAGGGTTTGCTTCATGAAACCTATGAACTTGGTACATTAACTACAGTAATATTTTGAAAAAAAATATATATAAGATATAAATGTGTCAACACCACCAACAATTTTCATTTTATATATTAAAATAAATATTAAAAAAAGTCATTATACGAATTGATCTGATCTTTTTACAATTACTGAATATTCATGTAATAATGAGAATCTGAATTCATGAGTCTAGTTCCAAGTTATATCAATTTCTCTCAGATAAAGGAAACATAATTTAAAACACAAAATATACATTTTGAAGTTGAGATTTATTTTAAATATAATCCACACACTTAATATTGATTTTAATTACACAATACATTTGTGTTTTTAATTTGTGCAATTAACATTATTGGTAGACAAAAATAAAAGTTAAAAATAAATAAATAAAAAAAAAAAAAAAAAAAAAACTAGAGCGAGTCACTCTATGTTGGTGGGAGTGGGGTGCAAACCACTGTTGGTGATTCACAATGAGAAGCTTAAAAACACTGAACCAAGCTGAAATTTAATTCACTCAAAAATAAATTTTGAAAAACAAACAGAGCACTCTCTTCTTGTTTTCTCCCACACTCTCTTAACACCCTTGATACATTTAGCTATTTATAGATAACCTAGACAATGTAAAAGCATACAATAATACAGTGTGAAAGCCTACAATTTATGCAGCCATTTTTGACCATTTAGGAACCGTGTGTTCAGCATGGTGGCTGCCATCCACTTTCAACCATGGTGGCTGCCTACCTTCAAACATGGTAGCTGCCTAACATCAAGCTTACTTTCAACTTCCCCCCTTAAGCTTGATTCTCCGTGCTGCTTTATTCCCAGCATTATCTTCATTCTCTTAAATAGATCATTTTTCAATGGCTTTGTGAAAATGTCTGCAAGCTGATCTTGAGATTTGCAAGAAATTAATTCCACCTCTTTATTTTTCACATGCTCTCGGATGAAATGATAGCGGGTGTCAATATGCTTACTTCTTTCATGATAAACTGGATTCTTTGCCAATGCAATTGTTGAGCGATTATCAACATAGATCTCAGTGGATTTTTCTTGTGAAAATCCCAAATGCTTCAGCATATTCCGTAACCATATTGCATGGCACACAGTTAAGTTGGCTGCAACATACTCACCTTCACAAGTCGATAATGTCACAATGGCTTGCTTCTTGGATGACCATGTGAAAGTTGTATCTCCCATAAAGAAAGTAAACCCCGTAGTACTTTTTCATTCATCCAAGTCACGTCCCCAGTCGCTATCTGAGAAGCCAACAAGACTGAAATTATCAGTTGGTTTATAGAATAAACCAACATTGATTGTACCTTTGATGTAGCGAAGAATCCTCTTTGCTGCATAAAGGTGTGACTGATTCGATGTTTCCATATATCTACTGATCAGTTCTACTCCATAGAGTATGTCTGGCCTGGTGCAAGTAAGATATCAAAGACTTCTAACTAGGCTTTTGAAATAAGTTGGATCCACATCGCCTACCTTCGTACCTTTTCTGAGCTCCACTCCACTGTCTACAAGAGTGTTCACTGAATTGCAATTCTCCATTCCATATCTCTTGAGAATTTCTTTGGCATAGCCACTTTGGGAAATAAAAATTCCATCATTTCATTGTGCTACTTCAATGCCGAGAAAATGAGTCATCAATCCAATATCTGTCATTTCAAATTCTTAGACCATGCTTCTTTTAAAGTCTTTGAACATGGCTGGATTGTTTCCGGTGAAGATTAGATCATCAACATAGAGACAAGCAAGCAACATGCTTCCATCAGCTTTCTTCTTCAAATATAGTTCGTGCTCATATGGACATTTTTCAAAACCATTATCGTGAAAATACTGATCAATTCTAGTATTCCATGCACGCGGAGCTTGATTCAACCCATAAAGTGCTTTCTTCAATTTGTACACTTTGTCTTCATGTCCATTCTGAACATACCCCGAAGGTTGCTCAATATAGATTTCTTCTTCAAGGAATCCATTAAGAAATGCAGATTTCACATCAAGTTGATAAATCTGCCACTTGTGCTGGGCAGCCAAAGAAATCATTAGCCTGATAGTCTCCAATCGGGCAACTGGAGCAAACACCTCTCCATAGTCAATTCCAGCTCTTTGCTTGTAACCTTTTGCTACTAACCTTGTCTTATAGCGTTGCACTTTGCCTTGTGCATTCCTCTTTGTCTTGTATACCCATTTCACTCCAATGGGTTTGTGCCCCTCTGGTAGACTGGTAAGCTTCCATGTGTCATTTTTCTCAATGGCATGAATTTCTTCATCCATTGTTTTCTTCCATTTATCTTCTTGAATGGCTTCTGAGAAGGTAAGTGGATCACTATCTGCGAGTAGGCAGAACAAATTCAGATTTGCTTCTTCTGTAGCTTCATATATCTCTTGCAAATTTCTCATTGGTCTTGGTTGTTTGAAAAAACTATCATCTGATGATGTTGATGATGATGATGCAGCACTTCTGTGAGAGATTGGCGATCTAGGTGCAGGAATTCTATGTGAAGGAGTTTGTGGTTCATCTTGAACTTCTCTTGTGATTTTAACTGGAGCTTTTGATGTTTCATCTTCAAGAATGAGTTCTGCATCTTTGACAACTTCATCTTGATTCCAATTCCAAGCTTCTTCTTCTTCAAATATCACATCTCTACTCATGATCACCTTTCTGGTAATATGATTATACAACTTGTATCACATTGTTCTATCTCCATATCCAACAATGATACATTTTTCTCCCTTATCATCGAGCTTAGTTCTTCTTGCTTCTGGAATCTTGGTGTACGCAACACACCCAAATATTCTGAGATGGTTGACACTTGGCTTATGTGAACTCCAAGCTTCTTCTGGAGTCATAGAATGAAGGCTCCTGGTTGGACATCTGTTCAACAAATACACAGCACATGATACAGCTTCAGCCCAAAATTGCTTGGGCAGTCCCTTTCCTTTTAACATGTTTCTTGCCATATCTAAGATTCTGCGATTCTTCCTTTCAACAACACCATTCAGCTGTGGCGTATAGGATGGTGTTGTTTGATGCTTGATTCCCTAATTTTTGCAATAATTCTCGAAAGCATTTGATGTATATTCTCCACCTTGATCTGATTGCAATGTCTTGACGTAGTAGCCGCTTTGCTTCTCTACAAAAGCTTTGAATTCTTTGAAGATACTGAACACCTCCAATTTTCTTTTAAGAAAATACACCCATATCTTCCGGTTATAATCATCAATGAAGGTGAGAAAATATTTATTCTGTCCATTTGACATTGGCTTCAATGGACCACACACATCAGTGTGCATTAGCTCCAGCGGCTTTGTTGCTCTCCACTTCACTTCTTTGGCAAAGCTAGTTCTGTGATGCTTGCCAAGAATGCAGCTTTCACAGGCTTCATTAGTATGAGCACTATGAGGGAGCCCTTTCACCATATTCTTGCTTGACAACAACTTCAAGCTTCCAAAGTTGAGATGTCCAAACCTTAAATGCCATAGCCAGTCTTTGTCTTTGATGATGGCACTTAAACACTTCGCAACACCATGTTGGATGTTCAATACAAACATCCGATTCTTGGACATTCTCACCCGAGCGATCAAATTACTATGATTGTCTTTGATGGTAAGATGACAATCGTTCATGCTGATGTCGTATCCTTTCTCTAGGAGTTATCCATACTGAAAATGTTGTTCTTCATGGCAGGAACATAATAAACATTGGAGATGTAATCATGATCTCCATTCTTAAGCTTGATCAGAATATTACCTCTTCCTTTCACTGGAGTCTTTGAAGAATTACTAAATGAGACTTGTGCTTGTACAGTCTCGTTAAGCTCAACGAACAACTCTCTTTTACCACACATGTGGTTACTGGCTCCCGAATCTAGATATCAAACACTGTTTTGGTTTTCAGTGTCTCCATGGTGAACAAACAGGACTACAGGTCCAACTTTGTTTGTTTCCTCCGCGGCAAAATTTGCTTGCTCTCCAGTTTCTGTTGTTGCTCTACTTCGGCATTCATTGCTGTAATGCCCGAACTTGTGGCACTGGTAACACTAAACATTGCTTTTGTCAAATCCTAGTCGGTTGTTGTAACCACCTCATCTACCTCTTGCTCTTCCTCTTGGAGCAAAGTGTGGTTGATTTCTTTCTTCTCTGGCTGGACCTCTTCCGCCTCTTCCTCGAAAAATAGAACTTCGGTTATTATAACCACGACCTCTTCCTCGACTTCTTTGTGATGTTCCCTCTTGCTCGTTTCTGTCATCTCTGAATGACAACTTTGATTGAAGAGCTTGCTCTTGAGAACTTGGGGGAGTCTTCTTGTTGATCCTTTGTTCATGGATCTCAAGTGTGCTCATCAACTCATCAGTGGTCATGGCACTGAGATCGTTGGACTCTTCTATTGCTACAACCACGTGCTCGAACATTGGACTGAGTGATCGGAGAATCTTCTCTATCACTTGAAGAGATTCCATCTTTTCTCCATATCTTCTCATCTGATTAACAATGGTCAATATTCTGTTGAAGTACTCAGAAATTGACTCATCCTCATTCATGTGCAGCATCTCGAATTCGCCACGTAACACCTGGAGTCGAACTCTGATCGTCTTCTCAATTCCATGGTGTGAATTTCGTAGAATACTCCATGTCTCTTTAGAGGTTGTTGTTGCTAAAATGTTCTCAAAACTTGACTCATCAATGCCTTGATAGAGTAGATACAAGGCTTTTTGATCTCTCCTCCTTGAATCTTTTAACGTCGTCTTCTAAGCATCATTTGAATTTCCTTCATCTTTGAGAGTAGCTGGCTCGTCATATCCTCTATCAACTAACTCCCACAAATCTTGTGAGGCTAGTAGGACTTGCATTTGAATACTCCAATTTTCATAGTTCTCCTTGCTGAGTTTTGGAAACTAGGGCTGAAAGAAGTTGTTTGTGTTTGCCATTGGTTGTCTTTAAAAATCTGCAAATGTTCAAAATGGAATTTTCAAATTCTGACCATACAGATGTGTCCGGAATACTCTAAATAGTTGGAAAGCACTATTGGATCACCAGAAACAGACTCCGAATGGCTCAGATCAAGCCAAAACAAGTTGAACGGTTCAGATCTGCGGCTGCACCTTAGCCACGGCACACTAGATTAATCCTCAGTGTGCTGATGTTAACGGCTCAGTCAATGGCTCAGGTCAACGTAGGCTCGGCTCACGCTCGACCCGATCAGCAGCTCAAGTCAACGGCGGCGTGGTTCGGCTCGGGCAAAGCTGCTCAGCGGCTAGATGACGTCAGTGGATGACGTCAGCTCTGGTATGCGTGCGTGTGGCGCGTGTTGAGCGTGGGATCACGCGTAGTCTTTCTCTGGAAGCGCATGGTAACGCGTGGGAGAGTGGGCGCGCGTGAGAACGACATCAGGAGGCGCGTGGGGCGCTTGTGGGGCCTTCCGATCTGATTTTTCAACGTGGTTTTCACAGTTGTGCTCGTCTCGTCAAGAGCTTCAAGCTAATGTGATCAAAAATGGATTTCGACCACTTTGATTTCTGGGCAATTTTGAAAACACACTCTGTTCTTAAAAATTTTTCAGAATTTTTGCAAATTCAAGCTGCTTTCGGTTTTGATACCGCTGTTGATGGGAGTGGGGTGCAAACCACTGTTGGTGATTCACAATGAGAGGCTTAAAAACACTGAACCAAATTGAAATTTAATTCACTCAAAAATAAATTTTGAAAAACGAACAGAGCACTTTTTTCTTGTTTTCTTCAACACTCTCTTAACACTCTCGATACATTTAGCTATTTATAGATAACCTAGACAATGTAAAAGCATACAATAATACAATATGAAAGTCCACAATTTATGCAGCCGTTTTTTACCATTTAGGAACCATGTGTTCAGCATGGTGGCTGCCATCAACTTTCAACCATGGTAACTGCCTACCTTCAAACATGGTAGCTGCCTACCATCCAGTTTACTTTCAACATTCTATAGTTGCTTTATGCACTTTTCTATGGTTGGTTTGTAAACTTATTCACCATGCTTGTTTCCACTTTTCAAAAAATTCTATTTTCTTATTTTTCGTGTTTTTTTTGTTTTTACTATTTTTTTTAATATTTTAAGCAATTTTTTTACTTTTTAGACACACTTAACATAAATACACCTAAAAAGGAAAAAAATTGTAAAAAAAAATCTTTTAAAAATTCACAAAATACCAAAAAGACAAAAAAAATATAAGAATTCAGTACATTTTTTTTGTATTTTTATGCATTTATTAATTTTTAAAAATATTTTTTCACAAATTTTTTACTTTTTAGATACATCTAAGTAAGGTGCATCTAAAAAAGTAAAAAAAAAATGTTTAAAATTTTAAAAATATTCACTAAAAACAAAAAAAACACGAAAACTAAAAAAGTCAATTTTCAAAAAACTCAAACCAAACCAAACACACTGATTGGTTGTGTTTTGGTATTGTTTTTTTGTTTTTAAATTTTAAATTTTTATTGGAAAGTACAATTTTTTTTTTATAAAGATCGAAAATAAGTATATCATACCAAGGGTATTTCCCAAGAAAAAGGGTGAAAGCCATCCAGACATTAATAAATAAATAAATAAATCTATTGACAAAATCAAAAAAGTGAAACAAAAAAATTGTTTCGCAAACAACTTTCAAAAACAAATATTTCTAATTTAGTAACCATATTAACTAGTTCTTGCACTCTCATTATTTCTATTTCTCAAAACACCAAATACAGAAACGAAAATAGAACCGAAAACAAATACCAAAATGTTGAAAACAATGTTTTGTCAGGACATCAACGTTTTTAACGTGGTAGACCATGTTTGTTCATGACATTTGCCTTTATAAATAGGCTCCTTTTGTTAAATGAGATAATATCTGATATCTATATCATCTATCCATATCATGATATGATAGATATATATCCTGAGTGGCTATCCAAATAGGTTTGAATTCAAATTCAAAACCCATTTAGATGAGGTTCAAAAGGTTCTAAGGGTCATGCCACATGGGCGCCCAATTTCTAACAATCTTAAATGCGGTTTTTAGTTTTAAGAATGTACAAGTATTTTAAACATTTTAATTCTAAAAATTGTGACATTTAATCCCTCTAGTTTATGTATTGTGGCAATTTGTTTCTTTAGTTCTAATTGTAATGTCCTGAAGTTTTCATTTTATGTCCGGTTAGTCCAATAGATAAAAATGTCCATTTAAAACTAAACTGAAATCAAAAGGGGCGGAATAATCCACTTACTCTCCTCAAAGTGATTGAATGGTTGGCGTTCAATTTGAAACGGTCTATTCCACTTTGAATGAACTATATTACCCTTCATTTTTATCCAAATTTTTAACAAAAGTTATCAATTAGATTAAATTTGACACAAGAAACTACAAGTATAATTTTCTATATTATTTATTAAAAAAAATGAAAATGCTTATTATTTGTCAATGTGCAGGAAGAAGAATATAAAAGGCAAGTTGAGAAGCTAAAAGAGGAAGTTATGTGCATGTTCATGTTCATGGAAGCAGTGGACTTAGTAGCTAAGTTGGAGTTCATGGACAACATAGAAAAACTAGGTCTTGCCAACCTCTTTGAAATGGAAATCAAAGAAGCTCTAGACACCATTTTAGCTTTTAAGAACAACCATCCCATTACAGAAGAGGGGCTCTATGCTAATGCTCTATTCTTTAGGCTCCTTAGGCAGCATGGATTTAATATTTCTCAAGGTATACAACTTCATTTCAAAAGAAAAATAACACAAAATAGTAAATAAAAAGTTGAGAAAAGTGTCCAAACTATTAGGCTGGCGCCCTGCATTAATTTTGGATGTATTACTCTAGACTAAGATAAATGTAGTACTGTTTTGGACACTTTTCTACGAAAATTTTATAGTTTAGAACATTATTGAATAGAAGTCCACATTCTTCATTATGTTAACGCTTCATTTATTTTGGTAAAAACATTTCTTTTCTTTTTTTTTTCTTTTTTTTCATATTTTCTAGACTTCAATATGATAGAAAACAAGTTTATTTGAATGAAAAATATTTTTTACAACCGCCACAATAATTACCCTTCTCCCAACTAATCATTATCACCTACCATCATTGTTGCCACCATTATTACTATCACCACCACCACCACTCTGCTACCCCTACCACCACCAATAATACAATTATTATCACATTAGTTTTAAGGTCGCAACCAAATAGAAAAACACATTTCTACAATATTTTTTGCCAAAACAAAGTAACTTTATGTGCTAAGCAATTTTTTACTCTCCTATACCTAAAGTGCATATCTTTTAATTCAGATATATTTAGAGGCTTCACCAGCAAGATGGGTACATTCATCAAAACCACAAACTGTGATACTAAAGCAATGCTTGAGCTTCTTGAAGCCTCACATCTAGCATTAAAGGGTGAAAACATTTTTTTTTTTTTGATCGGCAACGAAAATCTTTATTGATGGAAGTATACAAAAAGGATACAGGACATCAATAAAGAGGAGCTTGGAGCTAACTGAAGCTCCAAGCGCCAGTTGGTGAGAAACCAACAACAAAACAAAAAAGAAGCAGAAGGGAAGCGAAACAGAAAAACTAAACTACACCCAAGCCAACACCAAGCCACACTACTAACAAATGAGGCTTAATGAACAAAACCACTACTGCTACCAATCCACTCTACAGATAAATTTGGACATCATCTTAACCGTAAGGATCAAAACCGCTGACTATAACACTGCCGAGCAACACCCAAGATTGCAGATTAGGCACCGAAGCTATACATTGCACTGAGTGGAGCAGATCAAACTGACAGTAGAAGCAGTCCCGAGCAAAACACCCACAGCAACAGCCAAGCTTTGGTTTCCAAAACTAGAGCACTGCAGCATCCTCACTAGACAACCGGTTGATCATAGAAGCAGAACAAAAAAACATCCACCCCATGCTGGTGAAGCAGAACAGAATGGATTTACACTGGCTTCAGGTAACCAACCTACTGTGGCACACAACACACAAGCATAGCAGACAAGATAATAGCAGTTCACTTACACACTATGTAAACCTGAAGCATAGCAAGACATACCATCCAATCTGGAAGAACTGTATACCAGCCATATATATCAACCCCATCAGGTGCCATCCACCAAGCACACCCCACAGAGGCCAGTGCTAATACACCAATACAGAAGCACCAGCAAACAACCAAACAGAGACACCAGCAGACAATACACCTTAGAAATTCACCTACCATCTTTGAAGACCTGAAGCATAACAAGTCTAAATTGCCTTCACCAGATGATTACAAATGCATTACAGCCTCCCACCCAAACATACTCTAATTTGCACCAGATTATACACATAATCAGTGATTGGATAGTGTAAATCCCTTGAATCAGATTTCAGCCAAAATGTAGTCCTAACAGCAATAGTTTCATGCAGCTCTTCCAGGTTAGGTTGGACATCTTGGAAAAGGCATTCATTCCTATGCTTCCAGATTGACCACAGAGCCACCAAAGGGATTGCATCCCAAATTCTCCTTTCAACTTTGGTGAAATTATTA